TTTTCCCCCCCGGTACGCGGGCCTCTCACTGCTGTGGCCTCTACCGTTGTGGAGCACAGGCTCCGGACACGCAGGCTCAGCGGCCATGGCTCACAGGCCCAGCCGCGCCGCGGCACGTGGGATCTTCCCAGACTGGGGCACAAACCTGTGTCCCCTGCATCGGCAGGCGGACTCTCAACCACTGCGCCACCAGGGAAGCCCCGATTTTGTATCTTAAAGACCTTAAACTCTATACTCTTATTCCCGGAATCATTAGAAACTCTAAATTTTGAGGGAGTGGAAACAAAGAAAAGGCCAACTGGCTTTCTAGGGAAGAATCTAAGTGCATTCTGTTCCATGTTCCATGATGGCCTTTTTTTTTTGTCTCACATTTGAACTCAGTATGACATATTTTTTTAAAAGAGGTTTAGGGGCTCTTTATTCCTGATTTTGAGTTCAGGCTTATTGCTAGTTAGTGGGATGTTTTCCATTTCTATTACCAGTAAGTGTTTAACTTAGAAGCAGATTGACCCAAGGGTACAGCATTTAGTTTGGCTTTATAGTTTATTGGGGTGCTAATTTATTTTGAGGTTTTGAACACATTTCATTTTCTTTCTTCCCCCCTTAGAATATTAGCAAAAAGACCTCATGTCAAGGATGAGTTAAGAAGAATACAGAGGCTTTATTTTCTTTCTGTCTTTTCTTGGCCGCACGGCACATGGCTCGTGGGATCTTAGTTCCCCGACCAGGGATTGAACCCGTATCCTCAGCAGTGAGTCCTAACCACTGGACCTCGAGGGAATTCCCACGGAGGCTTTATTTTCTAAAGGGCATATTTATAGAGCTAATGGGTATTTCTGAAGCCTCAGGGTAACTATAAAGATTCTCAGGAATAAAGTAAATATTACTTTTTAGGGACTTCCCTGGCAGTCCAGTGGTTAAAACTCTGTGCTCCCAATGCAGGGGACCCAGGTTTGATCCCTGGTCAGGGAACTAAGATCCCACATGCTGCATGGTGTGGCCAAAGATTTAAAAAAATAATAATAAATTTAAAAATCTTACCTCATAGGTTGATATTGATTCTTGTTCAGGTAAAAGTGTGAAACTAGAGAGGTTTTTCCTGTTTCCTCCTCACCCTTAAAATGGTTTAGGAAGGTAGCCTTACTTAAGAAGAATCTCTTTCGGAACCAGATTACTTTCTAGAATTGAGTCTTCTTGATCATGGGTCTAAGGACTTGTCGGAAAAGGGAAAAGCAGGGGCCTGTATGCCCAAGTGACATTGTGCCTGATCCAGTAAAGAGTGGAATGGATGTCAGAGCAGAGTGGTTAAGATGTTTTCTTTATTTCACGTAGTATCTGTGGGTTGCCAAGAGAGAAAAGAGCATGTCGGACCTCATGGCAGTGAGAGCTGTGAGAAGGGTACAGACCTCATGGCGGTGAGAGCCGTGAGAAGGGCACAGACCTCATGGCAGTGAGAGCCATGAGAAGGACACAGCTGTTGCCCTGAAGTAGCCTCTGGCCTGCTGGGGCAGCTGCATCAAGCCCCGCGTGTGTCACGATAGGAGCGCGGACTTACTGCTGGGGAGGGCGGAGTTCACGGAACGAGAGGGAACATGTGGTTGGTGAGGACAGGCAAAGGCATTTTCAGTGGACCTTGAAAGATGAAAAGTTTCTAGCAGGGAAAGGAGAAGGGGAGGGTGTTTCATCAGTTGGGAGACAGTACTCAAGCTGTGGGAGAGACTGAGCCACAGTGGGGTGTGTCTGGGTTCAGTGAGGCGTCGAGTTTGATTGGAGTGGAGGGTACAGTTCCATCCAGAAAGCATTTATCGAGTGCTTACTGTGTATATTATTTGCATTTTGGTTTTTCAGGGTTGGGGAGGTGTAGTTGAACGTCCTCTTTGTCCTGAAGGGGAGAAACCAAAAGAGAGGAGCTCTTGATTAGGGAAATGAGGGGCAACAGATGGACAGAGGACCGGGCCTCAGTACAATTAAGAAAACACGTGGAGCAGGTTAGCCTTGGAGGAGAAAGAGTTTGTTTCCGTCTGAGTCTGTGAGGGAAAGATGGAGAAAGCTGAAAATGAGATGAGTTCATATATGTGGAATCAATCTGTAAGTTAAAAACATTTATTGAAGCTCTATTTATACTAGGTACCAGGCAATGAGAAAGCAAGAACGTGGTCTTGATGTAATCTTTGTTGATTCTCCTCTGCCTCCTTGAATACAGTGGCCATGCATTGATTATCCTCTTAAGACCTTCTACAGTGTCTAAAATGTGGTATCTTTAAACGCAGGAGGGGACCAGTACATGCTTACTGAATTGTTGATTCGTTGAAGTTTAAACAGTTTTTCTTTCTCCTATAAATACTTATATTTAATAGAGCTCCCAGCATAATTGGGATTCTCACTGGCCCAAAAGTAACTTGATTTAGTGCCAAGGTGAACTAGACTTGAATTCAGAAGACTGGGGCATAACCTCTGCCATTTGCCCCCTAATAGTACCCACCTTGCCTACTTCATAAAATTGTTTAAGACTCATTATATAATTTTACGTGAAAGTACTTTGAAAATCAAAAAGGATCTATGTAAGGTATTAAAATTGTCAGACCTTTCTTCTTTAGGATCAAGTATTATATTTCAATGTAGAATTTAATCATTTAGAATAGAACAATTTGTTTCTTCAGTAATTTAGTTTCTTCTTAGAGTGTAGATTTCATATACATGGCTGGTTGAAGGGAGAGTTCTATGGAGGCGTAATTTAGGCAGATTGATGAAAATTTTAATTCATCCTTTATTTTTCTGTTTTCATGCCCCAGCACTACGTAATATACTCTTAATATGGCACTGGGAAAGTTTCTGTGAGAATTACTTCTTTACATGTCTTCTGGGAGCTCTCATTCTCAATATTACAGGTGTAGTAAGTCCTTTTGGGAGCCTGGTTTGGACCCCAGGGATGGTGGGTGAGCTTTAGGGCTGCATGTCTTCCTTGTGATATTTAGAGAGTCTCTTGCTGTCCACTGGGAATGAGAGGGTGGGGGTCAGGAACATGAGTGCGAAGGAAATCCCACTTGTAGGCATTGTTCTTACCAAGAAATAGGGAAGCTTTTGATCCTAATTATTGAAGGCTAGTGGAGTTAGAAATTAACAGTGGAATACCTTATCTGGGACCACATTAAAAACTCCAGAACAGAGGCCGTGCTCTGCATTGAACCCCAGGGATAGGAGTGTAAGCTGATGTTAGACTGGAGATAGAACCTTGGTTCTGGATCTTGTCTGCACAGGTATTTCATTAACCACGGAGCCAGCGTGGCTGTTGTGAACAGTGAAGGGGAGGTCCCCTCAGACCTTGCAGAAGAGCCCGCCATGAAGGATCTTCTTCTGCAGCAAGTGGAGAAACAAGGTAAGCTGGGGGGTAGGTGAGGCTCTGTTGTGCAGGGCCGTGCGCTGTAGTGTGATAGGAAGGTCGGGTCTACCCGCACAGCGTTAGTCGTCATTACCCACATCATATACCCTCTTAATACTCACGCAAGAATAGGCCAGATGCCAGAAGGAGGGCCAGTCTTTCCTTGTTCTTGCCACTCTGGGGCTGTGTACCCATTGTGCAGTTAGGCGACCTGACTGTTGTTTGATGATGCAGGTTAGACTGAGGAGGGGCATGAGCATGTCTTGCTCTGTGTACATGGTGTGGACTTTGCTCCACACTGTGAAGTCTAAAGAAAGGATGAGATACAGTGTCCCTTTGAGTACTGGCCAAATTCTGCTTATGACTTTGCATCTTTTCTCTTGATGAGAGCTGAAGGTGGTGCTGGTTGAGGTATTTATTACAACCTCTGAAATGATCTTTAACCATACTAATCATGAAAATTATTTTGGTAGTTTGTCACGGTAAGGAAGCTAACTTAGAAGAATAAACTCTGAAAGAACTTATTTTATATTTTCAGAAGAATCCATTTCAGAGAATAGGTCAGGATTCTGCTACTGGAGGTCTTCGGGTTCTTTTAGTTAAAAAAGTTGCAAATAACACTCGTTAGATAGCAGGGAGGACAGGTCTTAGGGCGTTTGCTAGAACCACAACAAAACTGTGTGGACACGGTTTATAGTGATGTGTAGTCTTTCTGTTAAACCACTTTACCCACAATCTGCAGTTGAGTCCAAAAGATTTCTCTCCAGTGACCTTTTCTGACATGATGCTTTAGAACAGTCAGGGCCAGTCCTGGCCATATCCATTTGCTCACATGTTATCCAAAGCTGCATTTGCACTCCTACAGCAGAGCTGAATAGCTGTGACAGACCAAATGGCCTGCAACGCTGAAAACATTTACTTAATATCTGGCCTTAAATAGAAAGTATGCTGACCCCTGCTTTAAAATAATGATGTTCTAGGGCAGAAAATACTTGTATGAATACTGTGTATAGTTTTTGTGACCTATTGAATTGAAGAACTTTATGCCTAATTTACCATCAAGTCCTACTCAGCCTTATCTCCTCAGATTGGTGTTACAATTTACAAATGACTTTTTAAAAATAAACTGGATTTTTAATAGTAGTTTTGATTTTACTTTCTGACTCTTCCATTAAGGAGTATATTCTGTTGGAAGAGGCATTCATATGTATGCTTACCTTTGCAGCACTGTTAACTCTTTGTGTGTGGAATTCTGGTCTGTTCCAGATCAGTTATACCCCTTTCAGTTCATCGAGAGGATGTAATAATTGTGAATACAATACATGTGCACCCAGCATCAGAACACCTAAATATGTTAAGCAGATACTGACAGAGCTGAAGGGGGAAATAGACAATAATACAATGATAGTATCCTGCTTTCAACAATGGATAGATCATCCAGGCAGAAAATCAACAAAGAAACGCTGGACTTAAACTATCCTTTAGACCAAGTGGACTGAGTAGACATACAGAACATTCCATCCAACAGCAGAGCAAACATCCTTGCCAAGGGCACACAGAACATTCTCCAGGATGGGTCATATGACAGGCCACAATACACGTCTTGGCAAATTTAAGAAGACTGAAATCATACCAAGTATATTTTCTGACCACAGTGGTATGAAACTCGAAATCAATAGAGGATGAAAACTGGAAAATTTACAGACTGTGGAGATTAAACAGCATGCTGCTGAACAACCAGCGGGTCAAAGAAGAAACCAAAAGAAAAAATCCAAAAATATCTTGAAACAAACGAAAATGAAACACAACATACCAAAACTTGTGGGAGGTAGCAAGAGCAGTTCTAAGAGGGAAGTCTGTAGCGATAAATGCATGCCTTAGGAAAAGAGAAAGATCTCAAATGACCTAACTTTACACCTCTAGGAACTAGAAAAGGAAGGACAAGCTAAGCCCAAAGTTCACAGAGGGTAGAAAATGACAAAGATCAGAGCAGAAATAATTGAAATGAGAGACCAGAAAAACAATAGAAAATATGAATGAAACTAAGAGCTTTTATGTTTTTTGAAAAAATAAACAAATTGACAAACCTTTAGCTAGACTAAGAAAAAGAAAGAAGACTCGAATAAAATGAGAAATGAAGAAGGCATTACAACAGATACCATAGAAATACACAGGCTCATAAGAGATTACTGTGAACAATTGTGTGCAGACAAATTGGATAACCTAGAAGAAACGGGTAAATCCTCAGAAATGTGCAACTTACCAAGACCGAATCAGGAAGAAATAGAAAATCTGAATGGATCAATAACAAATAAGGAGATTGAATCAGTAATCAAACAACAAGAAAAACCCAGGGCCAGATGGTTTCCCTGGTGAATACTACCAAACATTTAAAGAAGAATTAATACCAGTCCTTCTCAAACTCTTCCCCAAAAATTGAAATGGAAAGAACACTTTCAAACTCTTTTTACAAGACCAGCATTACCCTAATAACAAAGCCAGATAGGTGCACTACAGGAAAAGAAAACTCTAGGCCAATATTCCCAATGAATATAGATGCAAAGATTCTCAACACAATACTAGCAACCTGAATTTAACGGCACAATAAAAGGATCACACACCATGATCAAATGGGATTTATCCCTGGGATGCAAGGGTGGCTCAACATATGCAAATCTGTAAAAGTGATATACCAATTAGTAGAATGAAAGATAAAAATTATATGATCATCTCAACAGATGCAGGAAAAGCATTTGACAAAATACAACATCCTTTCGTGATAAAAATTCTCAACAAACTGATTGTAGGAGGCATGTCCCTCAACATAATAAAGGCCATATATGACAAGCCCACAGTTAACATTATACTTAGTGGTGAAAGGTTGAAAGCTTTTCCTCTAAGATCAGGAATAAGACAAGGGTGCCCCCTCTCACCACTCCTATTCAACATAGTACTGGAAGTCCTATCCAGGCAAGAAAAAGAAATAAAAGGCATCCAAATCAGAAAGGAAGGAGTAAAGTTGTCTTTGTTTACAGATGATATGATCTCATGTATAGAGAATCCTAAAGACTCAAACAAAACACTGTTAGAATTAATCAACAAATTTGGTAAAGTTGTAGAATACAAAATCAGTATACAGAAATCAGTTGCATTTCTATACAATAATGACAACCTATCTGAAAAAGAAGTAAAAAATACATTCCCATTTACAATGGCATCAAAAACAATAAAATACTTAGGAATAAATTTAAGGAGGTGAAAGATCTGTACGCTGAAAACTAAGACTCTCATGAAAGAAACTGAAGAAGACACAAATGGAAAGATATCCTATGTTCGTGGATTGGAAGGATTAATATGGTTACAACATTCATACAACCCAAAGCCATATATAGATTCAATGCAATTTCTATCAAAATTCCAATGGCATTTTTCGCAGAAATAGAAAAAACAATCCTAAAACTTGGTGCCACAAAAGACCCTGAATAGCCAAAGAAAGAAGGCAAAGCTGGAGGCATCACATTTCCTGATTACAAACTATAGTAATCAAAACAGTATGGTACTGGCAGAAAAGCAGGCACGTAGACCAGTGGAACAGACTGCAGAGCCCAGAAACAGGCCCTCACATATACGGTCAACTAATATTTGAACAAGAGAGCCAGGAAGACTCAATGGGAGGAAGATAGTCTCTTCAATAAATGGTGTTGGGAAAACTGGATAATCACAGGCAGAAGAAGGCCATTGGACCCTTATTTTCATGCTCACAAAAGTTAACTCGAAACGGAGTCAAGTCCTGAAACTCTGAAACTCCTATGAGAAAACCTTCTTGACGTTGGTCTTGACAATGATATTTTTGGATATTACACCAAAAGCACAAGGAACAAAAGCGAAAATAAATAAGTGGCTCTACATCAAACTAAAAAACCTATGCACAGCAAAAGGAACAATCAACACAATGAAAAGGCAACCTATGGAATGGGAGAAAATATTTGCAAGTCACATATCTGATAAGAGGTCAATATCCCAAATATATAGGGAACTCATACAACTCAATAGCAAAAAACCAAACAATCCAATTAAAAAAGCAGAAGAGCTGAATAGAAATTTTTCCAAAGAAGACATACATTTAATGGCCAACGGGCACATGAAAAGATGTTCAGCGTCACTAATCATCAGAGAAGTCCAACTCAAAACCTTATTGAGCTATCACCTCACACCTGTCAGAATGGCTATTATCAAAAAGACAAGAAATAGGCCTTCCCTGCTGGCACAGTGGTTGAGAGTCCGCCTGCCGATGCAGGGGACGCGGGTTCGTGCCCCGGTCCGGGAGGATCCCACATGCCGCGGAGAGGCTGGGCCCGTGAGCCATGGCCGCTGAGCCTGCGCGTCCGGAGCCTGTGCTCCGCAACGGGAGAGGCCACAGCAGTGAGAGGCCCGCGTACCGCAAAAACAAACAAACAAACAAAAGACAAGAAAAAACAAGTGTTGGCGAGGGTGTGGAGAAAAGGGAGCCCTCCCACACTGCTGGTGGGAATGTAAATCGGTGCAGCCACAGTGGAAAACTGTATGGAGGTTCCTTAAAAAATTAAAAATTCCTTAAAAAATTAAAAATAGAACTACCATATGATCCAGCAATTCCACTTCTGAGTGTATATCCAAAGGAAATGAAATCAGAATTTCAAAGAGATATCTGCACTCCCGTGTTCAATGCAGCATTATTCACAGTAGCCAAGATAGGAAACAACCTGAGTGTCAGTGTATGCATGAATGGATGAAGAGGACACGGTATGTGTATATGTATTTATACTGTAGCTAATAGAATAGTATTCAGCCACGAGAAAGAAGGAAGTCTTGCCATGTATGATAACATGCATGGACCTTGAGGGCATCATGCTAAGTGAAATAAGTCAGACAGAGAAAGACAGATACTGTATGATATTGCTGGTATGTGGACTCTAAAAATGCAGAACTCATAGAAACAGAGAGCAGCAAGGTGGTTTGCAAGGGCTGGGGGGCGGGGGAGTTGCTGGTCAAAGGGCACAAACTTCGAGTTATAAGATGAACAGGTTCTGGGGATCTAATGTGCAGCAGGCGACCCTAGTTAACGACACTATATATTATACTCTGCAAAGTTGCTAAGAGATCTTAAATGTTCTCACCACAAAAAAGAAATGGTGATTATGTGAGGTGATGGAGGTATTTAATAACTGCTGTGGTAATCATGCAGTATATAGGTGTTGTACACCTTTAACTTATACAAAGTTATATGTCAATTAAATCTCAATAAGGCTGTAAAAAAAAAAAGAATAAATAAAATAAATCAGTTACCTCTTCCCCCCATCCATCTCCTCAAATCAGACAGATAATCCTCAGGTAGTTCCCAGGGTCCCATTCAAGAATTGAGAGGGAGGGGAGCAGACCATGCACAGGTAACGCCTGCCAATGAGTGTGAGACTCTTTGGGCGGGTGTGTTTGTCCTAGGAACAGGTCATTATTTTATGCAACAGGGAATACCCCACCCCAGCTCCTTTTCACTGACACAGAGGTTAGAGAGTTGTTGGCTAAAAGGAGGCACCCTGGGATTTCCTCCATAATGTTTTCAAGGGAAACAAAATCCACATTCCCTTGGAAGTTTCACTGTGCATCGCCTGCTCCTCGGCTCTAGGGCATATAGCTTCAGTCAGTGTATTTCCCTAC